GAGTAAGTTCTAGAGATATGCTATCCAGCACTGTGCTATAGATAACAGTACTGTATTGTGCACTGAAAAATCTAAGGAGGGAGATCTCACTCCCTTCTGCACCGTGGAAAACACTCTTCAAGCAGGGCGTCTCAGGGCACTTTTGGGGAGCTGTCAGCCCCAATGCCCCTCCTGCCCTTGGCAATTGCCTCCCATTCACTCCCTAGGGACCCCATATTCAGTGATAAATGCTTCTGGCTGCACTTATCCTTAGACGCAAAGAAGAGTCATATTGAACAAAGCCACAAAAATGTAATTGGTTCCTACATTTCCTTTAATTTTAAAAATTTGATAATATGTGATTACATATAATTTCTCATAAACACACAAATGCAATCATATGCATGGTGGTTCTTTGGCGAAGCTTTTTATTGTTTCCTTTTTGATTCCTCTCTTCACTAACCCCTTATTTTCTTAATTTTATTTTCTGTCATGTATGTAATCACATAGGGACACATATTTTATATCTCTGATTTTAAACACCCAATTCTGCAAAACTATAGCTAAGAAAATAAAAAATAAAAAAACAACTCCTAACGTTTGCATGCAACACAAAAATTATTACATGAAGAAAGGAAACATTAAGCAAATCATCCTAAAACTTTGCAGACCTGGTATATCTTATTTTTTCCCGTTGAACTGACTGAACTTTTAAGTGTATTGACACATATTTTGGAATTTAGGAGACGAAGACTCGGAGAAAGCTCTTACATAGGAACATGGGCCTCCAGGACAGCGTGCATAATCTGATGCTTAAAATAAGTGTGAATATGTTTGTTTTCATTCCTTCCTATGAAATCTGCAACCATATAATTTATTTCTTCCAGAAAGATATTACTACTAATAAAAAGGATACCTTCTTTTATTCTCCTAATCCTGTTTGCAGAAATAGTGCTAATAGGTTGGAGTAAAAGAAGTTATAGCTGGTTTCCCGGATCTGAGTTTTCTGATTTATCACAAACACTGCAGGCGTGGGTACAGCTTTCTCCTGTTAAGGACTGAATCTGAGAATAAAGAGGCGACCCTAGGGTGGAGACAGGCTTTGCAGAGATCTATATCCAATTCAGCTTCACTTTAGCACAGATTTATTCGGGGTTCCATTCTAAAATTCTGGGTGGAGGGTCTCTGCCGCATCGTTAACTAACCAAATGCTGTCGGACCACCCAGGAGTCCACAACTCAATGACCTCCAAAGAGTAGACATTTGAGAGTCTTATCAAGAATTTGAGAGAAGAAGGCAGGCACGACAGCATGCATACATGAGAGATGACATCCTAAAACTTCTGTGGAATTATTCCAGGAACCACACAAGATGAGAATCAGGCCATACTGCAGTGTACACTAAGAATCCCTGGCAAGTTTGTTGATAGAGTAGCTATTTTTGTTAACTTCAGCTTTTTGAGTTTTATGCCATTTTTTCTAAAGCTTCACCATCTTTATGAGCTTGTCCTCTTCGAAACCATGTTTTCCCTGGTTTAATAATATGCGTGTTAATTCTGTGCACTCGATTGTATCTCTTAGTTCATAAATGAAGCAAAACAAAGCAATGGAGAAAAATAGAAAACAAGAGCAGAAGGCACCCGGAGATGATCTGGCGATTCCTAATCTGCTCAACACCCGAGGACTGCACTTGTCAGTCATCTCCCCTCTTTAGCAGATATATGTGAAGCAGCAGCTTTCAAAATTAAGTACAAATTTAAAGTTCTGCTCTGCAACAGGCAGTGTCAAGAGAATGAGAAGACAAGCCACAGCTTAGGAGAAGGTATTAGCAAAGGACATAAATGATAAACGATCAAAATCCAGAACACTAACACCACCAAATGTTGGTGAGGATGGGGAGCAACAGGAACTGTCATACACTGCTGGTGGGAATGCAAAATGGTGCAGCCACTTTGGAAGAGAGTTTGGGGGTTTCTTACAAAAGTAAACATACTCTTACATACAATCCAGCAATCATGCTCCTTGGTATTTTCTCAAAGGAGTTGACAACTTAATGTCCACACAAAAACCTGCACAGGGATGATTACAGCAGCTTTATTTGTAATCACCAAAACTTGGAAGCAACCAAGATGTCCTTGAGCAAGTGAATGGATAAATAAACTGTGGTCCATCCAGACAATGGAATATTATTTAGTACTAAAAAGAAATGAGTTATCAAGCCATGAAAAGACATGGAGGAACCTTAAATTCCTATTACAAAGTGAAAGAAGCCAATCTGGAAAGGCTACATGCTGTTTGATTCCCACTCTATGACATTCTGGAAAAGGTAAAACTATAGAGACAGTAAGAAGATCAGTGGCTGCCAGGGGTTGAGGGGAGGCAGGATAATAGGTGGAGCACAGAGGATTTTCAGGGCAGTGAAACTACTCTGTATGAGACCACAATGATGGATACATGTCATTCTACATTTGTCCAAACCCTTAAAATGTACAACACCAAAAGTGAACCCTAGACTTTGGGTGATAATGACATGTCACTGTAGGTTCATCAATTCTAACAAATGCACCATCTGGTGGGGCTCTTGATAATGCGGGAGGCTGTGCGTGTGCAGGTCAGGGCATATATGGGAACTTTCTGTGTCTTCAGCTCAATTTTGCTGTGAACCTTAAACTGCTCTAAAAAATAAAGTCTACTAAAACAATCAAGTCCATTCCTATTCTTCAAAAAAAAAAGGGAGGAAGGTAAGAAAAGGAAAAATTAATATTGAAGAGTTTAAAAGAAACCCTACATTCTTTATGCTGTGCCATAGATCTCTAGAGGACCTAGCATAGTGTCTAAAACACTGAAAACCATTAATAAATGATAGGTATTTAATTTTTCATCCTCCTCTTTTTTGGCATAAGTTAGAGGAAAATGGGATACAGATATAAAAAAAAGTTTTGATAATTAAAAGCATGCTATTCTGAGTTCATTCAGTCTTTTGTTCAGCAAGAATATATCATGTGTCTAATTGATGGTGTCTCAGCAGCTGTGGTGGCGTTCTCCCTATGTAAGTAGCTAACGCTCGCGGTCCTCTGGATTGCTATCTACTTAAAGGTATGAATTGTTTACTCATCTCTGTACTGACAGTGTGTAGCACAGCATTTGGAATTTATTAGGTGCTTAATAAATGTTAAGTTGAATAGAAGGGTTTTGGGGGGACAGGTATAGATCATTTTAATACACCTAAGACATCAACGGCACAATTACGCTGTACCCTTGTGTGAAGATAAACTGGACCAAAATTTATGGGCATTCGTTTTTAATCATTCTTTCAGTTGCGCTGTTCTTTTTTCTGTCATACTGGATAGAGAAAACAGTTTGATTGAAGCTGTCTAATCTTTTCCTAAGTCCTTGCAGCTGCATGAAAACGTGGCAGACGCGAACAGCTACACCCTTCTGTTGCAGTTCAAGTCCTCCCAGTTTCTCGCAGGTATGTGTGTCTCGTGTTTCCCTCCGAAGGGTGAGGGTAAAGCCAAGTAAGTGATTATTTCAGCTATATTTAGCACAGAGTTCAATAAATATTTAGGGTACACCAAAGCATCCCAATGTGGAAGGCAGAGAGGTGAGATGTCACTTAGAAGCCCACACTCTGTACTGGTGGCCACGTTCTAAGATGTCCCCTAACTCCGGGCACCCTTTTCCATTGCCCCTGGCTTACACAATTTATAATAATAACATATAAGATAAACTTGTTAACTTTCAAGCTGATCGGACCACCTACGTTGTCAGGAGACCAGCAGGAGCTTTTGAACAGGAAGCCATTGACATATCCATGAGATAATCCACCCCCTAACTCTCCCCAACGAGACACAGCCAGAAGCCTGCGTTCTGGGGAGAGGGAGAAAGGGAACCAAAGGGTCTTTGCTTTTCACGGCAAGATTTTCACCACATTGAAAAAAGGTGAATCTACATTAGTGTTTTAGAGGGAAGTGGAATTATGAGGCTTTACTTGTCTTTGAGCTTACGCCAAGCAGTCCCATATAGACTTGGGCCAGAACGCTACAGTTTGCTAGCCAAAATTCACGTAACTACTATTAAAACTTGCTTAGATTCTCATTCTGCTGTTGTCTCATTTGAAAACAGCTCCCTTGGGAGCCCAGTGGGGAGGTTGGGTGGAAATTCATTAGTATCTGGCTTTAATACTATATGACTACCATAAAAACTACCTGACCTTCACACTAAATTATGATTCCCCTTCAGTAAGGGATGTGTTCTAATGTAAAGTAATTGAAGTGAAACCTTAACTATTATGAGCTCAAATATCTAGAAATACAAAACCTACAAAAGAGTATTTTCTTGGAAATTCAGGTTTTAGCCCAGATCTATGTGACTTTTTTTTGTGTGTGTGTGAAGAAGATCAGCCCTGAGCTAACATCCATGCTAATCCTCCTCTTTTTTTGCTGAGGAAGACTGGCCCTGGGCTAACATCTGTGCCTGTCTTCCTCCACTTCATATGGGACGCTGCCACAGCTGACAAGCGGTGCGTCAGTGCGCGGCCAGGATCTGAACCCGGGCCGCCACCAGCGGAGCGTGCGCACTTAACCACTACACCACGGGGCCGGCCCCTATGTGATAATTTTTAAAGAAATGAATCGAAAAAAGTGAGATTCAAAAGCAATAAGAACATCTTAAACACATCCATAAATCTAGAAGTTTAAGGGCCAAAGAGGCTGAATATATGTGGTGGGAATAAATGAGCGAATGAATGAATAAAAAGGGAAATGGAAGATGAGTTGACTTTAGAGGAGAGAATCCTAGATTTTTTTGAATGAATATCTGGCCAATAACAAGACAACGGCCCTGGAAAGATTTGCACATTATTCTCAGAAATGGTTTCACATCACAATGAAAAGCATTTGCAGAAGTCCTGTGCCTTGAGGTGAAGCTTCACTCTCTATTTACGCAGACAGGCTCTTTGGTGCATTAATCAGCCTACTACACCTCAGAGGTAAGGGCTCACCTCCTGGAAGCCTTTCCTACCTCGACACGTGGGCAAAGGGCTGCTCCACTGGCCGCTGCTCCGACACTGGGCTCGGGAAGCACCCTGCAGCAAATAGCCAGTGTTGCAGGTGAAGTTCACAACGTCGTTCAGGTTGAACTCACTGCCGTTAGTGAAGCCATGGGCAGGGTTCCCAGGGTGACCACACGTGATGGCTACGGAGGAAGACAGGTCCACGTCACCGTCAGAAATTAAACAAGCCATCACTCTCACTTGGAATTCTTTATTAATAGATATACCGATATGTTAAACATTTGATTTAAAGGTTTTTCAATTAGTCAGATCTATTACAGGTTGTACTCATATTTGGAAGGAAATGTTGGGAAAAAGAACCATCAACTGAACGCACAGGTTTTTATTATAATGGTGGAAAATAACCAACACCTGGCAAATATACTTTCTTCATCATAATAATTACTATTTCCTACTCAGATCATGACTGAATGTCGTGAAATTTTAAAATGAGGTGGTGGAAAACAAGACATGCTAAAATTCTTGTATTAATCATGAGTGTTGACTGTTTTCCCCCGAGTACACACCAGCTAATTTTATAGATCTCTCATTTTGAAACATTATAGGGATTTGGCTGATAATTTAAATTGTGTATGTATAAATTATTTCAGTGTCAATTTAAACATCATGAAATTAGCGAAAATAAGTGTGCATGCTCAAATAACATTTTCTTTGGCAATCTTTATTGTATGATACTTTGAAATGTAGTGAACTGTCATTATGTCATGCCCAAAATAATAGCAATACAAATCATGAAGATATCCTTCATTGGCCCTTTCAAAAGAAACACATTACAGTCATAAAACTGATGTTTCCGTCCTCATTTATCTTGTCAACAGTTTTTTCTTCTTGGCAAAGCTTTCACCCCTGAACTTTGCACATTTACCACTCACTACCACAGATAATGCCTGTCACTATCCTAGAGTTACATCGACATTTCCTTGTTTAATTCACAGGAAAATAAAGAGTATATTAGGAAAAAAACAACTGCTTTAAAATACTGGTCAATATTTATCTTTGAAGTTATAAGGTTTGAGGACAATCATTACATATAATTTCACCTCTCTCTATTAAAGGAAGGACTGCCTACAAAACGCTCCATATTATTGATGAAACAGTGACAAAAGTACAAAACAAACCGGAAGATTAAGGAATGTGGCTATTTTTGGGAATCTGCAAAGCCAACCTGCGGACTCAGACTCAGCATCTTTACCCTCCTATAATTAGCTTCTGTTTCCACCTTGTTCATCCTGTGATAAAGTCAGGGAAATGAATCACTTGTCCTGAGATCCACTGGAGATGAGTTAATGAGCAAATTAAATGTGAACAGGAGTCTGGAGGAGGCCTTGGAAGGAAACAGGGTGGGAGGAGGATCAAAAGAATAGGGGAAGGAACGTCCCTGTTGTCTCTCTTTGGAGAGTCCCCCTTCTGTGTCACTCTGAAGATTTAACGTGACTGTGTTATGACAATAACGAGAGAAAACCTGAGGACAGGAAGCAGCTGCTGGATGAGTTCACAGCGGTGTACTTACGGACACAGACTGGAGTCTGTCCTGACCACTTGTGGTCTTGCAAGCATATCCGAACGGACGTCCCAACAAGCCGGAAACCAGGATTGCACTGATAGACCACAGTGTCCCTGTAACTGAAGCCGTCTCCGCTGATGTGACCGTTCACGATCGGGTCCGGGGAACCGCAGTGGCCGGCTGAAAACAGAAGGAAAACCAGTAAAAAGTTTCGAGAATTTGTCTTTTATAAAATTACTACATGCAAAATTTGTTGACCTTTATTGTCAAGTGAATAACAGCATTGAAAGCATAATTTACTAGATTTTCCCCCATTTTTATGTTTTTGTTTGCTATAGCTTTTCTTTTTAATTTGTTTATTTTTCTCAACAATTGTGGGTAACATAAGTAATATTTCAAATTGTCAATGGGTATTTCCAATTACGGCTTCCCCATTTATTTATCTTACTTATTTTTCTTCTTGAGATTTTATGTTATTTATCTTGTGATTCTATTTTCAAACGAAAACCAAAAGAAAGGAAGATACGCTTAGGATTAATATGGATAGGGTTTCAGAACCTATTGAATATGAGTAATAAGGAGAAGATGACTAGGATTTCCAGCAAGAGAGACTAGATCACTAAACTATTTGTGAAATTCCGAAGGAAGGACGGATACCAGAACACAAGTTCAATCTCCAACATGTACATCTGAGGTACGTTTGAAGCGATGCCTCGGTAAAAGCGGCCTGTAGTCAGTACAAAATAGAAGTCTAGAGTTCAGGGGCGTGATGTCCTGAAGAGGAGTCAGATTTAGGGGAAACAAGATGATGGATGGAATTTGAAACTAAAGCCTGACTGAGCTTACCCGTGAAAAGCATGTACAGTGGGACAAGAAAAGGCCCAAAGATGCAACTGGGATGAACATTAATCCTTAAGGGGACATAAAAAGCGCCAACGTGAAGGAATCTGAACTGTAAGAAGACAGTTGGCAGACGTGGTGTTGAATAAGCATCAAGGGTAGAGAGCTTCCAAATAGAGAAGGAAGGAGAACTTCCAGTTCCTTGTGAGTTGAGAGATGGAACAGTGACAAAGACTCTTTGCTTGACCCACCTTTCGTCAGGCTCCTGAACCTTCTCCTAGGCACATCTGTGCTCTTCCTTGTAAAATCCACTTTTAGTAAGAACCCTGCTGAGTTGGTTTAGCAAGAGCCTCCACCCTTCATATCTGATCATCCTCATATCTGATCAGCTTTCTCAACCCCACCATCCCCCAGGTGAAGTCTGACCACCTGGCCTGACTTCAGCAAGAATCCTGTTAGGTTGGTTTGGCCAGAACCTCCCTCACCCCTGAGGTTCCCTCTTAGTCATTTCCCATGCATGACCCCACCCTGCTCCTTGGCTACAACCCCACTGGCCCACGCTGCATTCAGAGTTGAGCCCATCTCTCTCCCCTCTGTAAAATACCATCGCAGTGGTCCCTATACCTATCGTGATGCCCTACTATCTTCAACCAGTGTCATGAATATTTTTTTTTCTCTTTAATAGTAGCAAGGTGCTGTGTGGTCCAGAGAAAACAGAAAGGCAAGATTCAGTTTTTCTCTGCCCATTTGATCTCCTCTTCACTCTCCATTCCATTCTCCTTCCTCTTTATCTCTCTCCCTTTTCCTTGCCTCCCTCCTAACCTCTCCTGCTCTCTCTCCCTTCCTCAAGGATATAGAACAAGTACCTTGTTAAATCAACAAAATATGAAGCATTGGGAGTAACTGACATTAAAAGGACCTGTGTTACCCACGGGTTTTGGATAGACAAGAAAAGAAGGGCATTCACTACGAGTTCCTCAACTGTCCATCCAAAACTCCAAGCTTACCATGGGGAGGTAGTGAGACAAGGCTGCAGTGGATGCAAAGCAATTGGTGTAGAGTTCTCCTGGCCATTTACTTCCCGAATAGAGCACACAGCTGTGAAGGTTTACACAAAATAGAGTACCCCCAAAACGGAGAAAATTGTGAAATTGTTGTCATGCTACACTTGGGGTTAACTCCACCGGTCTGGAAGAATTTAAAATAATAATCTGTATTTCTGCTTAAGACAATGTTTCGCAGCACTGTGTTCTCCTGGGTCGGAACTGAATTTATTATCATCAAGGTGACTTTTCAGAGGAGACAGGGAGAAAATCAAATCAGTGGCTAGGTACCCCTGCTTGAACCACCTCTCTGCCCCAACGTTTATAAGATGTCCGGTCAAAAAAGTCATGCTAGATTTGGCTGATTTTTTGTTGCCTTGGCAGGTTTTTCATTCAGCCAGGTCAATTAACTTGGTTCTGGGAAGAGGCCAGATCACTTGACAGAAGCAGAGAACTCAGAGGAGGCTGAATGGTCTCCACGGGCTGAAGAAAGAGCCTCTGATGCTGCGAGTGTCATCAGAGAACGCTGACATTGGCTCCCAAGAGCTCTCCCCCTTCCCAGAGGCTGTCATTTGCACAGCGTGCTCTACTAGGTAGGATGATGGGGCCAATGTTCCAATATCGGTGACAAGGACTAGTAAAAGAGCCAGAGGAGCCACACACAGCCTTGCCACAGAGACCCAGCCACTTCTGAGTTGATAGATAAAAGGTCTAAATTCTAGAAATGTGCACCTAAATAACACAATCCAGTCTTCAAAGAGTGAATGGGCCACCTAACTCCTGTTGTCATTCTAGATAGAGCCCTCTACTTTTGGGGCTACTTCTGAAGCCTGTCGCCACTCCAGGAGGAGGGGATTTGGTCTGCTAGAGAGGGGTGCATTGTGACAAAAGAGCCCCATCACTTTATGTGCTCTGTTCAGTCTCTCTCTTGATTTGGACAAACACAACTGGCTGGACTCACTTTTAAACCTTAATAAATATTTGTTTCAACTGAGTTTTTAGTAAGGGCACATAGTTTGAGGTTGCACTCTCTTTTGAAAGCCTAGCTAAAAAGTACTCTTAATAGTCAGGGAGATCTCCATATACTTCAGAAATTTGGAAAGGTTGACAACCATGACTGGAAATAAAGATTTCTAACAGCGACTCTTCTCTGACACATGGTCATTTCACTTCTCTGAGGAATTGGCCTTAAATATCTAAAGAAAATAGAGGATGTTTTTCAAAAACACTTCATTTCAGCTCAGTGCCTGAAGGAAAGAAGAAGCGACAACATTGCCTGGTACTTCCTAATTTGAATAAATAGAGACAATGTGATTCCTAATTTGAAGCTAATAGCGTCTGTTCTTCACTTGTACAACTTTCTAGCCCTCAGTTAATTTCCTTTTAAAAACATTGAAAGTCTTAGACCAATTATAGGCTATTCACAGGTATAGAATATTCACACAATTTCACTTATAGCATTTAACCAGAATCTCAACAGTCATATGTCAAAATGCGGTGGAAGGGAAAACTGCATTAGGTGAAATTTGAACTAAATGTACTCTGAGCTCAAATTCAAATCTAAGATTCTATTATTCTGTGATAATATTTGTGCTATATCCTTTGTATGTGAGGGTTTTTTTTAATCCTTAATGTAGTCCCTATTTGTTGTAGAAACACCATGTAGACAGTTTCTCTATACCTACCCTAGAACGCTATATAACTATACTCATGCTTCTACCCAGTGTCTAAAACATACCAGTCACTCATTAAATACCTGTGGAAGTGAGTGAAAATAAGGCAACCTCACAATTGACAGTAACGTCCTTCACATTTTCAAAGCATTTCCAAAGCCACTATCTCCTAGGTGACTTTCATTTATCTGCAAATAATTTAATGATAATTTGCTGTGGGCCAGCAATGTTCTTGGGGCTGACAACTAAATGAAGAATAAAATACAATCACAGAGAATGAGACAGATCTGGGGAGCACTAACAGGGAAAGCGTCCTAAGGGTGTTTGAACCAGTGAGATGAGGAGTGGGGGAGGGACAGGTCCTGGGCATCAGAAACTCTGAAAGGGGCAACATTTAAGGCTTGAAAGATGCACATTTGTTAGCCAGGCAACGGTGAGAGAAAGGCATTCTAGTCACTGACATGAGAAAGTTTATTTATTTTTGAAAGTTTCAGTTAAAATACTGAAGACTATAGAGTTATAGGACCAAATTATCCATTTACTAGAAGGGTACCTATTTTTATCCTTTTCAGCTTACTACATCGTACATATCATCCTCTCCATGCATCTTCCAGTATGTGGATGCATTTAGTTATTACAATTCCACTGAGTAGAAACAGTAGCAAAGAAGCCTAAGAAAATCTAAGTGCAAAAAAAAAAAGAAAAGAAAAGAAAAGGAATTGGGATGAGGGCAACCCTGCATATTTCAGAAAAAAATATCAACTAAATAAAACAAAGCAATGTGATTACCCTATAGACCCTACACCAGGACGACAGGCCCCAAGGTTTTGTGTTTGTTTTTGTTTCCTTGTTTGTTTTTCATTAACATTTAGCTTCAGTAAGCAGAGATCACTAAATGTCTTTCCCAGGCAATTCTGTGGCCAATATAATCACACCTAGGAAGTCAAGGAACCTGAGTTTCCTGAAAAGTGCGAGTTGGAAATGGTTCCATGAAATGTGGACAGAAAATCCTGGGAGTGATTTAAGTATATGGCCTAATTATTTTATATCAGTCCTACTCACGAGTTTAGTAATCTGCCACTAATCTGAACCTGATCGCACCAATCAGCAAAGAGCTAAAAAATGAGATAGGATCCTACAAAACTGTCACTGCACGTGATTTTTAATTCAAAGGATGGATGATAGAGAGAGAGAGAGATCCTAAAGGAATTGCTGAATTTTCTTTTGGTTCATGTATGAAGTGCAATTCTGTTACTTCCACATTTCTAGAACTTTACATGTAATTCTCCATTTTTTCCATATTGGGTAATTCTCCAACTGCTGAAGATTGTTTTGGAGAGACTGTACCATAAAAAAAGTCATTTAAATTGGCCTATTAAGACAATTTGAACGATGGAACAGGAATACTGTGAAATTTCAAAACAATTGAGATTTCATACACACTGTTGTGGAATGGAGTGGATCACAGGAATCTAGATGTTTCCCCTCATTTGCAAAATTTTTCCTTTGTCCCATAAGCTTTGAAAATCACTGGCTTATAAATTTATGCTATTCTCTATATAACGAATGCTGTTCTATTGTTTTTATTTATAAACTGTTACTATATTGTGATTAGAATGTCCCA